AGCCCAGATTTCTGAGGGGACAGAGGACCCCATTTAGGAGTATACATCTCTCTCCTTTCTTAGCTCAGGTCATTGGGACTTCTCAAATTTACCAGTCCTTAAACTCTGTGGCCTTCTTAAAGAATAGGTATGATATTAATCACTCAGGGTGGGACAGTTATCTTTCCCCAATCAAAGAACGGCTGAGGAATTCCTCCCTGCCAAAAGCATGTACAAGCCATCTGTGACTCAATGTAGCAATCAACATCTTGCAAATGTATACCCTCTGCTAGTCTGAGAAAAAGAATTTTTTTTACAAGTGGCAAATGAATTTAACTTGGAATAGATGCATTAAAGCTTCAGATTTATACATAAAAGGTACATAAGAATATTGGTCAAAGTAAAACAAAATCCGTTTGTGTGGAAAACAAGTTTAAGGTATAGGAAAAAATTTGAATGTGTTTTAAACTAATCATTTAAGACACAGTTTTTTAATAACTGAATTTAGACTATGAAATGTTTCTTCTCATGACAAAATAGCTGTTGAAAAATATATACCACAATGTATTTAAAAACACAGCAGAGAATAAAATAAACTTCGGAAATAAATCCATAACAAAATGTCTAGATAAGTTTTGGTTGGCTAAAAATATTTCCATCACTGTTTCAAGATATTTAGTAAATAAAGCACATGGTAAACAAAATCACAGGCTGCCATATTTTGTATCCCATTATGTTTTTCTCTTCCAAATCTCAGGGATGACACCTACTATAAACAAACCAACGCCTCCCAGCCATGAGGAACATGGCAAAAGAACAGATGGAAAAAGAACAGGAGATGGGGCACCAGTTAACAGCACTGGCTGGTCTTGCAGAGGATCTGAGCTCGATTCCCAGCACTCACACGGCAGCTGACAACCATCGCTATCTCTGGTTCCAGGGGATCTGACATCCTCTCCTGGCCTCTGTGGGTACCACACACACGGTGCACTTACATGCATGCAGGCAAAATACTCACACACATAAAAGTAAATCATTATAAAACTTTTAAAATCACAAGAGAGAGAATGTAGAGAGGAAACTGTGACACCCTATCTTCTGGACAACACACAGGGACTGAAATAAAACAACTCTTGATTTCAATAGGTCAACAGAGAAGTGGCACCAACAAAAGCCAGGCAAGGATTGAAGAGACTCAGGAGACCCTTCCTGTCATTGTTGAACAATCTCCTACAAGTAGATTGAGAAAAAAGAAGAGTCATTCCTTTAAGTTATGCGCCCACTGATAACTCCAATAAGCACCAAATGAATAGTCCCAATCCAATGTTCACATGGATGTCCCTGATTAAATTAATGAGCCACACAACAAACTAAAAGTCATGAATCAGGGGAAAGGATAGGTAGGGAGGAGGGCTAGTTTGCAGGAGTAGGAGAGAGGTAAGACACTATAAATTAGATAGTATTAAGTATGCCTTTCATATATATGTGAAAATGTCAAAAAACAAATGCAAAAAATGAGAAGAGGGAGGGAGATAGGGAAGAAGGACAAAAGGATAGAGGAAGGGAAAGAGATGAGAGAGAGTGGTAGAGAAAAGAGGAAAGAGAAGAGAGAGAGGAGAGGGAGAGAGAGAAAGAGAGAGAGTTAAAGAGGCAATTAGGGGGCTATGGAGGAGAAGTCAAAAGCCAAGGAATGTGCTGTGTGCGATGGCGCACGCCTTTAATCCCAGCACTTGAGAGGTAGAGGCAGGTGGATCTCTGTGAGTTGAGGCCAGCTTGGTTTATACAGAGCTTTCCAAGCCAACTAGTGCAACATTGTGAGACTGTCTCAAAAAATAAATTAATTAAATAAACCCCACAAAAACAAACAAACAAAATGAATGCCAAGAACTATGGGTGTCATCTAGAAAAGAAATTTCTTATTTGCGAGACCTACTAATAAAGAAAACAGACCCACTGACACTTTCTGTTTCAGCCCAGTGGTATCTGTACAACATTCAGCTCATAGAAAGGATATATAATACATACATGGCTTTACTCTAAGCTGATATTACTTATGCAAAAATAGGGAACTAATATGGCTGCCAACATGTATGGCATATAAAGTGTCAACTTCTGTTGTGTTCATCGGAATATTTTTGAAATTTCTTAGGATGACCATAATAAAGGACCATGAACTGAGAGGCACCAATAATGGAAATTTATTGTCTCATAGTTCTGAAGGCTAAGTAAGAGATCACAGTATTACCATGTTAGGTTCCCACTGGGAGCAGAGGAGAATCTGCTTCTAGAGAGAGACATGGAGACCTTGGAGTTTATTGGCAACTTTGGGAGTTCATTGATTTGTACATGTATCACTTTGATCTACCTTTGTCTGCATATGGCAGTGTCTCTGTGGGTTGACTGGTTGTTATCCCTAAATTTTCCTTTGTACGGGCCACACACTGATGACTGTTAAGCATGATTATCCCTGTAAGGACTCTGATTCTAATTAAGGTCATAATCTGAGGTTTGGGTAATCAGGATTTCATCATATTTTCTAGGGGAAAACAATCCAATCATAACAACATGTGACCTGAGGTCATGAATATCTCATGTTTAACATTCCTTAGTGTCTAGACTTATTCTCACAACCTCTGTTTAACCCCTTCACAACTCACTCCCATGCTAAAGTTCTCATTATTATCTGTCTAATAACTTTGAGACTGTACTTCTTTGCTTGGGTTTCCCTGAGACTTTTTCCTCATTTGTTGCTGGAAAGTATAAGTGGTATAGGATGATGTACATAAAGAGAATAAACACTGCTGCATAGCAGGTTCTTGTAAGAGTCATCATCATTGTCTAGGTGAGGAAAACTAATTTTCTCTTTCAAAGGACAGGAAGCTCGTTGTTACAATTCAGTGATGCAAGATAGTTTATAAGGATAGGGTGCTCACTCACCCCCACACAAGTGTCTCCATTTTGCTAATTAGATTTCCATTCTTATTCCCATTAGAACATTTCAGCCAAAATACATATTGAATTTGCACACTCAGTTTTCTATTCATCTTACTGTAAAATCCTAGAAATGGTTTAGAGTAAGGCCTCTCTCTACATAAGTATGGCAGCAAATGTGGGATCTCTGTATTCAAATCATGCTCCAAAGTCATATTAGAATGAATGTAACTAGGAAGACACCTATATTCAATGTGCATTATTTTCATATTTTTCTTGTCTTTAGATAAAACAAGATATCAAGTATTAGTGTATCAACTAGGATCTGCAATTCTGCTACTCTTACAGTAACAGAATCAAGCTGTAAGTGCTGATTGTTTATAAACTGCTCAAAATGGATTTTGCATTGAAATACAAAGAATGTAAAAAGAAGTGATGCATAGTGCATTATAGACTTTGCAGGTTTTTACACTACATAAAAAGTTATGATAATTTCTTTGGGATAAATGCCACCCCTGGGCAGGTGGGCTTCTGTTATATAAGAAAGTAGGCTGAGGGCTGGAGAGATGGCTCAGTGGTTAAGAGCACTTGACTTACATGCATATAGACTTAGGTTTGGTCTTCACCACTTGAAAAATGAAAGAAACAATAAAAGTAGAAGATAGGAGAAATTTTTAAAGTTTCTTGTGTAACAAACCTGATATGAATTGAATTCAATTTGTAAATGGAAATAGAGGTCTCAAATGAAATATTCATTTTAATTTTTAGATGGATAAAAAACAAATAAAAAATAGATTGAGTGTGGGTCCTTATATCAAACCTCTCCAACCCACAACGCAGGGAAAATTGCAGAAGAAGGGGTGGAAAGATTGTAAGAGCCAAGGCTGGTTCATGAACAGAGGGAAATAGAATCTTTCAAGCCACTGGAAGTTTGAACATGTGAATTTATGGCAATGGTGAGATCAAACACAGGACCCATGCCAATTCAATCAGACAAGGGCCCAGATCCCTTGGTGGGCCGGCCCTAGTCTGGAAACTATTTGATCACTACTGGGTGAGAGAGAGTGAGACACACCAATGATCCCTAGATAGGCTGACTAGACTCCAGTGCATAAATTTTTCCTGAAGGACATCTGGGTGCAAATGACTGACTAGATAGGACTTAACATGCATAGCAGAATACATGAGGTCCAGTGGGGATGGGGATGGGGGCATGGATTGGGGAGGGGGTCTAAATTTTATTGAGAAATGTATGAAATGTACAAAGTTCATAAAAATTTTACAAAGACTGAAATCATGAAGATGCTTAGTATTAATATTTTTCAATTTAGAAGTATTAGTGAATAGCAATAAAAATTATAATATTTTCCAATGTGGAAATATCACCCAATTTCTTCTTCTACTTTGCTCTGATTTTTTTTCTTCTGAACTGAATGGAAAACTCACTAAAATGAATTCTTTCTGTGATAAACATATTTCTGTTTCTGGAATCTGGCAGTGACTGCTACAAACAGAATATTAAGGTTGATGATAAAACCAAATTGTCTGTATAAAGAATAGTGTTTGAAACATGGAAAACTTATATGGATTTGAATGAAAGTTGTGGTTCTATAGGTAGAAAATTACTAGCAGTTCTCCAGAGAAGTGTGATTGCTCTTGTGTCCTTAGGAGACAGATGCACAGTGAATTTGACTGTTATCTAGAACTGCACATAGATGAATTGCCAAATATCTCCTTTGCCTTTCTAGAGTATTAAAAAGAAGAGGTGATGAACTCTTCTTAAGATCGGCATCTTTGAAGGAGGTCAGAAAAATCAAAGTCATCAATGGCTTTGAGGCATAAAGGCCAGAGAGGCAGAGGACCAGCCTCAAATATAAGGAAAGGCAATGGGCCTTTACATATTTGTATTTCCTACTTTCTCCCTCTCCATAAAATTGACCCAACAATAGTATGTGTTTGTATTGTCTCCTTTCAATATGAACTAAAATCCATAATGCCTTAAGAAACTTATACTAAACCAACAATAAAGGTATTTGTATTAACTACTCCTGGGTTAATTCAAAATATGGGAAAAGATTGAATACCTCAATTTATTTTATACCATATGAGACCAGTTTCTTGCTCCACAACTTTCTCATGGCATTCTTCACCTCTGCATTCCTCAGTGTGTAAATCAGAGGGTTGAGCAAAGGTGTCCCAATTGAGTAAAACACTGCTATCATCTTATCCATGGGGAAGGTGGTTGCAGGCCGGGTGTATATAAATATGCATGGACCAAAGAACAAGACAACCACAATGATGTGAGAGACACAGGTAGAGAGGGCTTTCCTCCTCCCTTCTGCACTGTGGTTTCTCAATGAACGAAGGATAATGATGTAAGAAACCACCAACATGACAAAACTCACTGTACAAATGGCCCCACTATTGGACACCAGGAGCAGGTTGATCACATAGGTATCTGAACAGGCAAGTTTCATCAAGGGCTGTAAGTCACAGAAGTAGTGATCAATCTCATTGGGACCACAGAAAGGCAAACTCAAGGCCAAACAAATCTGAGTTAAAGAATGTACACAGGATCCCACCCAGGCCACCGCCACCAGAACACCACAGACCCGATGGTTCATGATGGTCATGTAGTGCAGGGGCTTACAGATGGCCACATAGCGATCAACAGCCATGAGGATGAGGATGAAGATCTCCAGGCAGCCAAAGAAATGGAATGTAAAGACTTGGATTATGCACTCACTGAAAGTAATCGTGGCCTCCTTCAGAAGGGAATCCACAATCGTTCTAGGGGCTATTGTTGTAGAGAAACAGGTGTCAGACAAGGATAAATAGAACAGGAAAAAATACATTGGGCTACCAAGTGTCTGGCTGGTCCTGATGGTAGTAATAATCAACAAATTGCCCAATAGTGTCCCCATATAAAAAATTAAAAACACAACAAATAATATTTTCTTCCTAAATGGATCTTGTGTTAACCCAAGTAGAATGAACTCAGTCACATTGTTATTCAGCTGCATGGTTTCAGGAATGAGAAGTAGAGATCATGGCATTCATTGCCTGAAAAAGAATAAAGAAATTTATTAGTGATATATTATGTGATGGTATGGAATATTTTAACCAATATTTAATATTACCCAACACAGATATTCTGTCTGTGGTTTCTTTAATAAGTGATTCGACAATTTTTCCTCAATTTTAATGACCACTTCAGTGTGTTCTTATGCATCTCAAATATGATTATGAATGTGATAACATTTAGGATATTTGATTGCCTTGGAGGTTCATGATATAAAATATATTATAAATATATACATATATAAAGTTACTGATTACACCATCCTTCATGTTATTTATCTTCATATGCCATTTTAATATTTACACAAATGTATATGATCTATAGATATACTACCTCATCCCCGCTTTTCAAAGATTCTCCCACATATTTCAACAGCCAATATAATCATTCATAATCTACCAATAATCTTAAAATATCCTTTAAGATATTTAGTACTAGAGATGTATGAATGAGCACAAGGGAATATTCTTTTGTAGATGGTAATAGCTTGCATATTTCTACTTTTTGTTTGTTTTGTTAAGAAGTACATCTTAGAGCACTAACAGTCTGTTCACCATATTCAAATGAAATGAAAGTGTGTGTGTTATTGCTCAGTTGTTCAACTTTTTTCAAGAGAAAGATTTTATTTTACCTGGTTTTCATTTTACATACTACCAGGTGGCTGATATAGGACTAAAAAGTGGTTATAATCCCCAGTAGTTTTTTATTATCAACACATCTATAAACCTCAAGTTCTTAGAATAGAGCAGAAGAGGGAGGAAAGGAGGGAGGGAAGGAAGGAGGGAGGGAGGGAGGTATGGTTTTAGAAAAGACAGAGAGTAGATAGTTACTGGTTTTTCCTTCATTCAGTTTCCTTCTGTCTTGCAAAAGTAAATGATTCATTGATTTTTTTCAATGTAATCCTTGAATGGAATTTTTATATGGATAACTCTATTATCATGGTCTTACTTTCAAGAACAGAACTTTTTTGGTGTATCTTTCTTGCCAAGATAATTTTAGAAGACACATACAATCAAGTAACATATAAATTGAGGCAGAATTTATTTAAATTCAATCTTCAAGAGCCATGTGGTCACATTTGCCCCTACTGGTCCATCCACATACAGTACATTACGGTGAAGCTGGTGAGACAAACCATGGGAGAAGACAAATAAAACAGACACAAATTTATCCTTCTATGTGTTTCTTCCTCTCAGCAAATGTTCTTCTTTTTCATAAACTTAAGAGATCCTTTGTCTTCATCTCAAAAGGCCCTCTTACTAAAGTATGAAATAGTTTTCTCTTTAGACCCTGATTTTTAGTAAAGATTATTCTTTAGCTATAAAGGAACTTGCTTGCTATCTTTATCATAAGATAAGCTCATTACTGCCTTTTCATGTTTGAAAGAGGATCCACCATGGAGTGTTCACATACAGAAATTAGTTAAATATAGCTTTTGAGTTGTTACCAATCCTATCAGTCTATTCATTAGCAAAACGAACTGATTTCTTTTACACATTTACAAAGCATTTTAGACAAAAATTCAAAATATATGCTTCCATTAGCTTGATAAATTTTATAGTTTTGAAACAAATATTTACTAAATATTTTCATAATAAAAACAACCATCATCCTTCCTAGAATTTCTTCTATTTTTAGGTTTTATGACCATCTTGAAACTGAGACTATAAAGAAATCTCAGACACTTTTAATGATTGCCTTAAAACAAAGGCTATTATTGGACTGGAGAGATGGCTCAGTGGTTAAGAACACTGACTATTCTTGCAGAAGACCTGAGTTCAAGTCCAGCACTCACATGGCAGCTAACAACTGTCTGTAACTCCAGTTCCAGGGAATCTGATAGTCTCTTCACCGGGGGCATTGCATGACATGGGTGCACTTACCTATATGCAGGCAGTACAAGCATGCACATAAAATAAAAATAATAGATAAAATATTTTTTTTAAAAAGGGTATTATCATTAATGCTATGTAAGATCTTTATTCATATTTTTGTATACTATTGCAGATAGTTGGCTCACTGAAATTATGTATAGTCTTCTTTTAGTATCCTGCCTCATATAAGTATATTGGAGATCTATGTCTACATCATTCTCCACTGTACCAAACTCAGCATCATGTATACATAGGTACTTAGCATTTTCAAATTGAACAGTCTCTCTTACTTTGTGAAGTTTAGTATTTATGTTCAGGCTGGAGAGATGAACCACTGGGCAAAGCTCTTGCTGTACAAACATGAGAATTAGTGTTCAGATCCATAGCACCCATGTAAAAATCTGGGCATGATGGTACATTCTTGTAACTTTATCTCTGGAAAGTAGAGACACAGGGATACCAGGGAGAGTAGAGACATGGGGTAACAGGTCAGGTAGTTTAGCTAACATGGCAAGCTCTAAGAGAAAGTCTCCCTCAAAATAAAGGAGGAAACAAGAGCTAGACATCTGAGATATCAACCTTTGGCATCTACATGTTCCCACATGGATGAATATCCCCTCACATACATGTACATACTACACATATACACACACATTTGATATTTAACTGATTATTTTAGTGGGTTTTTTTTGTTTTGTTTTGTTTTTTTGTCTTTTTGAAGCAGGGTCTCCCTGTAGCCCCAGCTGTCCTGGAGCTCACTATATAGACCAGGCTGGCCTTGAACTCACGGAGATCTGCCAGGCTCTGCCTCCCAAGTGCTGGGACTATTGGTGCGCGCCACCACACCCAGCTTCTTGCTTTTCTGATTTTTAAATCATATTCAAAACATTAATTTACTTGTGTTGATACCAATTCTGTGTGAGACATAGGAAATTATGATCCTAATTTCAAAAAAAAGAGGCATAAGACCCTGAAAATTTGCTGAATCAGCAGCATAATCTGTTGTACAATATTTTTTTTGCAAGGTACAATGCTAATATGAAAGACATTGAGACTCTGATACCCAGAAAACGATCATTTTAAGAATTTGGCATGATTTTATATGAATCCATAATCCTTAGAAAATATAAGGATGGCCGTGACATTTTCACAGCCTCTGGTATGAATCCAATTATTCCATGTATGTTTACATGTATAACCCCATTTCACTGATATGCCAATCAATCATTAACATCTTGTATTAGGTTTAATGTAATGGAACATAAAGCTGACTTACATTGATCCGGTGATTAAAAAATGTCTAATAATACAGCACAGTTATTAATAACTACTACAAAGACACATGTTTAAAGCGTCACCCTTCCCATTTCTGATTCACTATATTTCTTTCAGAGAACTCCTACGCTCACTTTACTTCTATCCAGAATTTATCATTCTCTCTGGAAAGGAAAACAGCTATTCCTCTTCACAAGAAAACTGTTTATTTCTTTAGGGAGATTAATCTCCACTAAATTGGAAATAATGAGTGGTAGTCTGCCTTCGTTGATCTTCCTGTGGAACCCATGCTATGACTATGACTACAGGGTGGAGAGATGCCTGAAAAGTGGCATCTGAGGACAAGAGGTTAGCGTACAATTCAGAACCATTACCCAATCTTTGTATATCCAGTTTCTTTTGCTGTCATGAGTTTCATAGTTGATTATTCCTTTTTCTAAATATTACTAAACAGAGATCAGGAGCTATGTAGGAAGGTAAGACTATATCATGATACAACTGATCAGTCAAGTTTTGTTAGAGACAAATAGTGAGGAAAAAGGAATAGTTTCATCCAAACCGCTTTTAGGTTGCCCACACTGTCTATGTGGTATATTTTCTTACACTTTCAAACTATATTTATATAAAGGACTATTATTTAACTCCACCTTTAAACTCATTACTTATGTATAGTATTCTCATTTTTATATTTGCTCTGAAAAGTAATTATTCAGTTTGACAAACCAAGTCTCAGATGTGAATTAGTTGCTGATTATATTCTCATGATACCATTGCAGAATCACACAAGGAGAAATAATTCTATGCTATAAGATGCAGAATTTTGTTCAAGTTTCTCAGTTGGAAATGGAGGAACTGGCATCCTCCAGAAGACTCAACAAGGCCACTATTTTCCGCTAATTGATTGCAGGCACAGGCTCTTCCTCAGTTTCTGGAATGCGTAGCTGTAACTGAGTACTTGTCTGTTACCTTACAGGAAAAGCCTGGGGGAGCTTTGCTAATTGTGATGATGTTTAACACACTGAACACATACAACGATGGTTTTTCACATGAACAGTGTTTATGTAAAGAATTTGTTGAGCTCAAACATCGGGTTTTATTCCAAAATTTATGTTGCATTCACTTGCTTTATTAAAATGTTGGTTTGTTTTTTTCTTAACTTTCTTTTAGGATGTCAGAAAGATAAAGTCATAATACATAGAAATGTAGTAAAAGTACATTGGAGTAACATGTAATACTCTAACTTCAAAAAGAAGAAATAATCTGTCACTTACCAGTAGGAAGACTCTTTAGATAAACATTGTCTGTTTATCTCCTTTTGAAAGCAGATTTTCCATAGAGTCCTGGTTAAAAATAAAAAGTCTGCATCCCAGAGGGAATGTTTGGCATGTAATGATGTAAGATATCAGCATCTAAAAAGAATGATTCCCTAAAGCTAGCATAAATTTGCAAATGAGACACTTGGATAATATTCTAAATTCCATGTTTGTCTGTTTAGCCTGCAAAAGTAGCAAGTTAACCCTCCTTCAACTCGGTTCCCAGATGGAAACAAGGATTTGGAACTGCTCGAAATCTCTGACATACCTAAACACCAAAAGAAATACAAGCATATGATGGAAGTGGTGATAGAAAACAGGAAAGTAAAGGGGCATTAGTGAGAAAAGCAGTAAATGCTTAAGAACAATTCTGCTTCCACTCATTACCCCAAGTTACGGCTCCATGTGTTAGGACATAAGCTCCTCAGTCATCTGTAATACATGTGATATATTTACAAATACAAATCAGGAAAGCAGTG